ACAGCCCAAGATGTTCACCATTTCATGGAAATGCAGTACACACACTACGTTACTCTGTGTGCACTTGGCATTATTCTTGGCTATGGCAGAGCTTCTCAATCTCAGCATATTTTGTGCTGGAGAATTCTTTGCTTCAGGGGAATATTCTGTGCACTGCAGGATGTTCAGCAGCATTCTGGGCCTATAGCAGCAGCTTATGCCCCACAGGCATGACAGCCAAAAAGGTCTCCAGGCATTGCCAACTGTCCCACTCGGCTACAGTAAGAGGGAGCAGGTGTTGCCAGTGGTTGGTGCTATTGTCGAAGTGCTTCTGATCTCGAAGGGGAGATAAGATCTGCAGACAACTGAGTACAGCCTGTGGCGGCAGATGATGAGGGCCAAGCAATGTGGCCAACTGCCTCCCACAGGTCTCCTAAGGAGAAGGCACCACCTCTAACCAGTGACGGAAAAACTCCAGAAAGGAGGTGGGTGGCATTTTAGCCAGGCCATGTCCTAATTACTGCTACTAATGACAACTCATTCCTTCCTTTAGTACATATTATCTCATTTATCATACCCTGATAAGGATACTGATTGAGTAATTTCCCTGAGACTCACAGCTAATAAGCACAAAGGTGAAACCAGCTTTCAACTGTCTCCAAGCCAGAGATGCCTCCTATACTGTTCCTCCCTCTCATTCCCTGACCAAAAGTTCAACGAGCCCCTGGCTGGCTAATAGTTAGTTTTTTTTTTAAGGGTGGGGGACTCAGGTGCAGTGGCTCACACCTGTAATCCCAGCACTTGGAGAGGCCCAGGTAGGCGTGGTTCGAGTCATTAGAAACAGTGGTTTGAGACCAGCCTGGGCAACATAGTGACGCAATTTTTAAAACTAGCTGGGCATGGTGGTATGAGCCTGTAGTCCTGGTTACTGGGGGCTGAGGGGTGCTGAGCTGGGAGGATCGCTTGAGCCCAGGAGGCCAAGGCGGCAGTGAGCCATAATCATGCCACTATACTCCAGCCTGGGAGATAAAGCAAGACTCTGTCTCAAAAACAAAAACAAAAAGTTGATGAGGGCCTTGCCATGCAAGCAGCCCTTCTAGACCCAGGGTGCAGAAAACTGAACAAAACTCTACTCCTGTTCTCAGGACACTCAGAGCCCACAAGAGGAGAGCTGCACGTACTGGAGCACTTCTGACAATGAGAAGGTCTGCAACATCAGCCACCGTTAGCAGTGAGCAGAATTTTGACAGAGGCACTGACTCCCATCAGTAAACAGAAGGAGGGATAAAAGGGCAAGGTCGCTGTGCACAGTGGCTCACGCCTGTAATTCCAGCACTTTGGGAGGCCGAGGCGGGCGGATCACCTGAGGTCAGGAGTTCAAGATCAGCCTGGCCAACATCGTGAAACCCCGCCTCTACTAAAAATACAAAAATTAGCTAGGCGTGGTGGCATGCACCTGTAAGCTCATCTACTCAGGAGGCTGAAGCAGGAGAATTGCTTGAACCTGGGAGGTGGAGCTTGCAGTGAGCCGAGATCGCACCATTACACCCCAGCCTGGGCGACAGAGCAAGACTCCATCTCAAAAAAAAAAAAGAGCAAGGTCAGATGTATTGAGAAAGTGGTCCAGTCTAACAGGAGGCCAGGGAATGAGTGGAAGATGGAACCAGAAAGGCGGACAGTGCAGGGGGCCTTGAATGTGGTGCTGCAGGGTTTATGGTATGTCCTGGGGGCGAAGGAAGCCATAGTTAAAGTGTGAGAATCATAGCATCAAGGAGGAGAAAATTGTCCCTAAAGTTAATCTGGGTATAGAATGAGCTGTAGATAGATTCTAGAACCAAGTGGAAATGTCTAATGAAAGAATAGGTAAGTATCTGGCCTTCTTCCTTCCAGATTAGAAGGCCTATTTGTCTATAAAGTTCACCCACGGTCACTAGGCTCCCTGGCTAACTCTTAACTAATAAACCTTTCTGTCAGGGCCAGCAACTTTAAAATAGAGTTCTCCTCTACCAGTGCCTGTCTAACCTGTCACTAAAACTTCAAAGCAGGGAGTAAAAGTAATTATTAGTCTAGTGTGATATATTGTAAAATACAGAGTGCATTTAAACTTCAAAGTGCTTAGAAAACTGGCTGGGCACGGTGGCTCATGCCTGTAATCCCAGCACTTTGGGAGGCCGAGGCAGGCAGATCACCTGAGGTCAGGAGTTCGTGTCCAGCCTGGCCAACATGGTGAAACCCTGTGTCTACTAAAAATACAAAAATTAGCCGGATGTGGTGGCAGGCACCTATAATCCCAGCTACTCGGGAGGCT